TCTTCGTCTACGCATTGCTCACCACACCTTTTGCATTCCTCACGTACTCACGCACGAAATTCATGAGCAGGATTCCCGTCCCCAGCGCTCAACGTCGCTCAATGCACGCTGATTTGCTAGAAGCATATACAAAAACACGCACACAAACACGCACAACATCCCAACATCCTCCACTTCACGCACCAAATACCACATATGTCTGCGTCCGGTCACAATTACCACACTCCCTAGCAGCCAACCCCTTTACTACTTGTGCTACTTCCACCCAACACTCTGCGAGCTCCACCTTGTAGAGTGGGCTACGCACTTTTATATCCATCGGGATGAGGGGGTTCGCCGTCGCGCTGTTGTATACGAGAGAGATGGGCCTGCATTACGTAAGTTGCCATTCTTGTGTTTGAAACAATTGGGAGGAAGTTGGTGGTTGGTTGATAAGCGTTTCTTGGTATCAGGTGCTCCGTTTGCTGCACTACGCTTTCTTTTATATTCTGTTCGTCGGCTGCTTGGCGCAGACGAGACACATGGATATTCGCAGTAGTTGTAGCCTCTTTGCAGTCTACGTGAAGCATGAAGGAAGCGTTTCAAACCGAATTCGCTCGTGAAACTCCTCTTCTTGTTCGCCCAGCTGCACTCAATAAACGTCCAGCGTTTGCTTCATCAGCAATAGTTCCGGCTGTTCCTCGTATTTAGGCTTCAGTTTTTGGAACGCTGCCGACTACTGCCGATGTTGTCACTGCCTGTGCTCGAGCTACTGCTACGGTCACACGTCCCAGTCTCAGGAGTATGATGAAACTGCACACATGACCTGAAGTCAAGTGCAGCAGAGAAAGACAACAAACCAGTTGGTGCGCCAGATATTCACTTCGTTCTTATAATGAGCCCTACATCTCGACGAACTGCCTTCGTTCGACTCCGCAGTGGACGAATAGAAGGCCTTCCCTTTATGGTACGTCGGCCCTTCCTCTTAACGTTTGTCGAGTGCGAAGTGGTTAACCGACTGCCCTACTTTCGTAACGCCGTTCATACCTATGTCTACCGTAGGCAAGCAACAAAGAACAAACTCCTTACACTGGCATGCGAAAGCTGTTCTCCCCAACTACTGGTCCACGGAGGCTGATCTTGCCTTGGATCCAGCTGCAGCGGAAGATTTGTCATTCTTCTGACAAATCACGAGCATAGCTGTACATTTGAAACGGAGCAGACATGAAAAACAAACGTACAGGGAGAACTTTAGATTAAACAGTGGAGCAGCATCATTCACTACGTGCGTCCCGCTAATAAGCATGAGGGTATGAGGGTTATCCACGTGAAACGAGTCCCAGGTGAACAGATATTAAAATTCAAGGGGGGCACGTAGGGATCTCTGTGCAAAAAAGCCTTCGGCTGCAAGATGTACGCTTGTGCACACCTGCCTATGCCTGCTGAAACGAACTAGACACAGGGGGCATTTCCTTGTTGCTGATGCTGAATTCGACAGTCTGTTGTTGCGGCGTGTACAGCAGTACAGTACACTTAAACCACACCTTGCAGCAGGCAATGCATTTGGCCACCAGGCAAAACTGTGTCGGTGCTGCAATCTGTTGCTGCTGTAGCTGTGAGCTACTCGCTGCTGTTTTTACAAGCAAAGGTTCAGTACGCCTAGAGTGAACAGTGCGATTCTTTACTCTGCAGGGTGTCCACACGTGCACCACTGTCATACAAGAAGAATGCGCAATGGTCTGGCCGATTGTGGAACGCTCCATCGAGGCAAATGCATATGGTGGCGCTGCAACTGGTGGAGTTGCCTTCCTGCTATCCAACCGGCTACTGGTATTGCATTTCGCTGGTGCAGCTCGTGTTCCCATCCTTCATCTTTGTAAACTACGTGTTCCCCTGCAGCTCCTGCTACATAAGCAGAAAATTATTATACGTGGCGAACAAAAACCCTTTGTGGATTTCACTGCGAGGCGAGGCGACTACCTTTAAAACTCTTGCTTGTGCTGCTGCTGACGCTGAGCGGGCTGCCTCTGCTCCAGAGGCTGCTGTTTGTGTTGCTTGGGGCGTAGAATCTTCTTAGCGATCAGCGAAGCCTCAATCTTGTCCTCGTCCCACGGCATGGGAAACAGTTTCTCTGTGCATTCACCCCACACACGCACAGTATACACACGCGTACTAGTATTTTCACAATTTCTGCAGCGATCCTCAGGAGGCTAAACAGCGTAATGGAATTTTGCTGAAACGCATGCAAGTAGCCTCTGGCGCCCATAACCCCGCATTGGCGCCACACACGCGAACGGAGAAGGCAATGCAGACCGTAAATTGAAGATCTTAATTTTGAGGGGAAGCTTTGAACGAAATTTATACCTTTTCCGTCCTCAAGGAGCTCTGCAGTATCTCCAAAATGTTCGCTGCCGACCCATCCTGAGACACCAGGGAAATAGGCCCAGCGAGAATTCTCCCAATCGCTCAAGTCGAATACCTGCAGAACAAAAGCAAGCAGTACCTTCCCTAATTTTAACCCTGCACGCAAATTTATTGACCACCAGTGCGCTCAAACGAGCACATGCCTCCAAACACCCAACGAGAAAAACGCACTCGAGCAATCTGAACGACCAAGCTAGACAATTGAAAAAACGCATCTCCCGCAGCTAAACCTTAGGCAAATAATAGCCAAATCTAGGAGACATACCACCCTGAGAGAAGTTGTGTCTATTCCTCGATGAAAGTTGCCACTAAGCGGATCGTTGGACTTGAGAACTGCAATGGCCATAACACACACTTGAAAATAAACCCAACCCATGAGCACTTAAACCAAAACCCTTCTGCAGAAGGAAACGAACTGTAAATGCCGATTCTCCAATGTGTTTGCCGCCATACTGTGGGGTTCGAAGTGGTGCGCCTTGAGTGTGCCGAAGTTTCCTCCCCACTTCAGCGGCCCTACGCTGAGAAGATTTCTGAGAAGCGGCACATCCTTAACGAAGGGATGGTCTATGAAACGACTCCTCAGTTTTCCCCAATTCCAGTCCTTCACGTCGGGGCCTAGACGACCGACTAGGTACATTAGTGTTTCATACGAGGACTTGCAAAATAAACGAGTCATTGGAAAACCGGCAGGGAGGATACCCGAATCTGCGATACAGAGGGGAGGAAAAGCTACCATGCAAATAACGTCCGTGTCAGGCCAAATTGTAGGCAACGAAATGCATTCGAAACGCGCAAATGCACACAACCATGCAAGCATACGCTACGGGGCCAGCTAGCTAGAAGCCAGTTGCTCCCCCCTGCAAACTAGAGCGATCAAAACCCTCCTGAAGTACCGCATATCCCCCTGACGCCACCAACGCAAGGCCTAAGCTCCCAGCTGTGAAAGTCAAGCCCTAGGTCTTATTTGAGCTCAGTACGCACTCTTGTCCTTCAACGCTGATAGCAAGTTAACACGCCAGTGGTTGAGGGCCTCAGTGCGCGGCAACCACGTGGGATGCATCCAGCCCCCTGCAGACCGCACGCAACAAAAAAAGCAACAGAGCCCTGATCTTATGCTCTGCTGCGTTGCCTGCTCAACCACTCAACAGTGGTTCCATGCGTTCGTTCCATTTATCCCTTACCGACTAATGTGAACAGAGCCTCGTCGGTCCAATTGTTCGCAGAGAATACTTCCTGTAACATCATCTGAAGCCAGACCTCGTAAACTGAAGCCCCATATGATGAAGCATTCATCGAACAGTCCCAAGACTCCATTGCCGACTTCAGCCTGAACACATAGAAACCCATAGCATGTGCCCGGTGTCTAAAACATTACGAGCTCTCAACGCCTACATATATCATATACCTCCGCTCGGTCAAATAAGGGCTCAGAGGATGCTATCACTGACGCAAGCACCAGCTTTCACGCCCGGACGTGGGTCTTACAATCGAGCCACGTAGGGTGTGAGACCCTCTTCTGCACACAGGGCAGTTGCCTCAGTTTGGTCATTTTTGAGGTCAAAGCGGTTAAGGAATTCCTTGAGTACGAAATCTCTGAACTCGCAACCGTGCTCGCTGAACTGGTCCTCCTGAGCAGTCGACCACAGTACACCCAAAGCCCCAAGACCCGAACATGAAAACTCCCATAAGCCGCGAACAGCGAGTTACAAATGCTACGCTTGCAAAAGCTCGCCCTAAAAAGAAAGAATTATACAATTTTCTACGCAGCCTTCTGCTCGCACTTCTGGGCAAAAATACCTGCATTTTGATAAGATCCTCGAGTTCAATCTTCTTCTTCTTCTTTAGCTCATTCAGCAAATGGTGCGCGCGGCGAACGCGGTGCCTGTACGCGCAAGTCAACAACAAACCTAACAGCCATATAGCCAAACCCCTCAACCTACACGACCAAAATTTGTTCCCGTGCACCAGCCTGCGTGTGTGCAGCGTCGTCCTATACGTACCGAGCAGATCTAAGTCTGACTCAGATCTACAAGTTTAAAACTCTTAGACAAATTGTCCAACTTTGCATATGCGTACCCTGGGACAAAAACCTCGCCGAAGACCCTCTTTGGGTCGTTCGCTAGTACAGAATTTCCGGCGACAACAAATCCGCTCTTAGGGTTCATCACAAACGGGATCTGCTCCTGGGGGAGTGTACCCTGTATTAATGGACCGCGCATGCACCCGAATAGCATACCGTAAACGCTTGCTTTCTAGAGCTACATTGAGGAATGCTTGCAAACGGAAAGGGAGAAGGCCGTTTTACTCGGCTGAAGTGGCCCGCGAGCAAACCAGCTAGCTCCCAGGGTCACGCATCAATACACGGCTACGTTAGCTAGATAAAGCGGCGCTGGGCAAGCTTAGTATGTGCCTCAGAGTGTGCACTGGCCTGCGTGTCACGGAAAGCGAGAGCTTAAGGGCTACTGCATACGGACCTTCCAGTCTTGTGCAGGGTCAGAGCCATTCCTGAACTGCGGAAGAGAGCTGAACGGTCTCACGGGCACAGCGCCCGTGACGGACGCGCCGATTGCGCCTTCCTTCGTTGCCCAGAGGCAGACGAATTCGTTCATTTGTGCGTGCTGCCCCTGCGTCCCCCACAAATCAGCATCACAAGCACTTAAACTCTGCAACGCACTTGCAAATCCCACGGCGTAAACGTCCGAGAACCAACCTGCCCTAACCCCCCCCCTTGTGTTAAACACGAGCCAACTGTCCTAAACCCCTCTCAAGGCTAACCATTTCAATGTAGTCCTTCCAGCTCTTCCCAAATAGCATCTTCTCCGCCCAAAGCGCCGGAAGAGGAGCACGCACTGCATATAAACCCCGCACCGTAGAGCCCTTGCTTTAGTTGCGACTGTGTTGTGCCATCTAAGGCGCCCCAAGCGGGCTGATAGACACTATGGCAGAAACCTAACAAGTACATTTCACTCTGGTTTGCCTAAAGCTGCCCGGAAGGTGGAAAATGTGCTCCAAACGCTTATTATACGGAGTACACAGTACAGGGCCGTTGCGACCAACGTTGATAACTTCATAACTACGGCGTCAGCCATATAATGCTAAAACAACGCTAGAACTCGGCTGGGGCCAGCTTCCACATTGTCGGCTGAACGCTTAGGGCCTAAAACGCACGAGCTACAGAGGCAAAGACGAGGGCCTGATTCTTCTTGATGCCCTTGCGCAGAGGAGGGACGACGTCGGAGAACAGGGGTCCATGGTGACTGTAACGAGCAATATGCCGAATGGGATTTGGGCGGCCCTGAACACCAAAACATGACTCTACGCCACCGATTACCAAACAAACTGAAACTCTGGCATCTAAAACGAAATACAGGGTATCTCCTGATTACAAAAACTCGACAAACTTCGACCCCCCCTACCGACCACGTGGCCCAAAACCCCAGCTTGCCTTGACATAAATGTTGTGTTCGATGAGCTTGAGAGGATACTGCTTGCCCCCGTAAAAGTAGTGAGTTCCCTCCTCATTAAGGTCTATCAAGTATAAGTCCTCAATATCCGTGTGCGCCACTGTTTGAGTCCAGGCTGCGTGCTCGTTGTGGCCTGCAGAGAATACATGCCACCAGTTCTAAACCCTAAATACACGGTCCCTGCGTATCCTCAGGCGGTAGGCCTGCTGAAGCTGGCTATAGACCGAACGCAGGAGGAGTATGAGAAGCGATCAACCAATCCGAGGCATGAATGTCCCTGAAGTGCAGGTCATCGACGCACCCACGAACATGCCAGTAATCCCCACAGCCGTTGCCCCAACGGCGCGAATGGGCATACCGTCCCCCTTGCCGTCCGATTTGAGCCACATGGGCATCCAAAAGCCTGACACCAGCCCCACAAAGCAAGGTTTTGACCAAAATGCGAGCTTGCAGCACACCTTCTACACCAAACGTTCTACAAGCGCTAAACTCAGTTCATCAGTGCGGGTGCATTCAAGAGAAATGGCCACGAAAGGAAATCGACAGACATAAAACCATACCTGGTGCGTTGACCTCAACATGCGGGTCTCCAGCCAAGATGGGCATTCCCGTTTTCGTGAGTTTGCCAGAAACTGCCCAGCCGTTGCTGCCGTCCTGTACGAAAGGTCCTCAAAACATGTTCCCGCAAGTATTGACGAATGGGCTTCTGCTGCCACCCGCTGAAGAATGCCACATGCGTAATTACATGCTTAAAAACCGACACGTATTCAGTCCCCTTACCATTTTCAGGTTGAAGTTGCTTGTATGTTCTGGTTGTTTATCGGTAGTCCACGGCCTTGGGTGCTTAAGGTCATAGAAGTCCTCCGCTCTTTGCATATCCTCTTTGAATTGCTGCATACGCTCAGGTGTAATCTTCGTGTTGGGATCTCTGTCGTGCATAGGGCCCCCGAACTCGGGACTAAGGGAAGACGGCCCCTCTGACATCTCTGGGAACGTGGAGGGGCCTCTCTGTGCCCATTCCGTATCTGTATCCTTGAGCTCCACTGACGGGAACTTGACTGGCTTGCCTGCGCAATAAACCCTAAGCCATGGAGCATAGACCCTGAACGCTCTTGACTGCCGTAACAGCCAGTAGCCGCAAACCTGGCCTAGCAGTGCCATTTGATCAGCAAAGGGGAAACCTTTGGTCTAGACTTGCCCGTCAGGTCGTAGAGGCTGGGGCCTGTGCCTTCAGCGTTCAGCGGAGGTACCCCTTCAGGGTACCCAAAATCGAACAGCTGCAGAAGCAGAGTCACACGAAGCAGAGTCACACAAGCCGCTCAGGATGCCTGCAGCTTCAACCTATTTTGAGAAGCAAGGTCTTTTCTGAAAACGTATGCCCCCAACACTTGGCCTTAAATCGTACGCCCTTTTACCTTCCATTTGTCGCCCAGCGCCTCTTTGAGGTGCACTCTAACAAAGTCTCTCGTCAGCCCTCTGTTCAACATTATAGAGTAAATTGTGGAGATAGCGGCCAAATCCAACAAGGTAAATGGGAGAGAAGGCGTGTGTCCCAGAAGCACGAACTCAACTGGCCGCGCAGGCAGAGACTTCAATGCCTCGGTCACCCCTGAATGCACCGGCACAGACATACGGAGACGCAGGCACACATGCACACACACACACACATACATACATACACAAACACACACACATACACACGCACACACGAACGTCTTTCGTTCGACAATTTCGGGTTTTGCCGCTGGACTCCGCGGCGGAGTCCAGCAAAGATTTGTCATGAACGAACGAACAGCGCTTGGAACGCTGCGTAACCTCGAGGTCAAACCCTGAGGACTTCGCCAACATATGCAGAGACAATATCTTCTGCTACTCGTCTGGGGCCTTGTGCATACTTGCCTTGTGTATACGCAGTAATACATGACAGGCCTTCAGGCGGCAGCTTTCTCAGTTTGTGGAGCATTGCCTCCTCAGAAATGACAGTCCTGAGAGACACCAAGCCGACGAAGTTAAGCAACAAGCCTGCCCTTTAAACGTGAACCACTCGGTTGTCCCGATCACTCTAGTGACTTCGTGCAAGGATCCAAGCTTCCCAAATCCAGTACTTGCTTTCTACTAGTTTCCCAGAGCTAGCTCTAAATTCTGAATCGTTTAAAGCCTTGCCTGCTGATCATGTCTGTGTCCGTCATCGATGCTCCAAGGACGGCAGCGGACTTCCCCGTTGCTATGAGCCTCAGCAACTCAATTTGCACAGGCCTCTCTGCACGCAGATTAGGCCTCCATGCCCCACAGCACGAGTCCTAGTTGCTGCAGCCACTGACGCGCTCGCATGCGTTGAACCGCTACAGGGACACGACGCAACAAGTGCAGCAGAAGCTATAAACTCACCTGTAGCATGCAGGTAACCTTGACCAAAGCAGAGGTCCAGCCCTGAAAAGAGCGCACCAACCCCAACATTCTAAGCCCTGAACATTAAAAGGCTGAGTCAACAGAAGCCCTTCGCAGTTGAGAATTGACAACCACGGTGGCACGAAGGCCCTGGCTACTAGGGGCTCTGGGGATTGGCTAGCTTACGACTAGAGGCGCTTAAATAGGGCAATCCATTTTTGTCGTGTGCTATGCGCACCGAGTCCTTGATCCCGGGCACCTGCACATGAAACGCTAGGACGAAAACCCCGTATGTGTGGGCGGTCGCATCATCTGTCGCGGCAGTACTGCCTCCCGTGCAACTAAGTGCCAGGGTCTTGCCCCTTGCTTTAGATTTACCTCTAGGGGTGTGTTCCAGAAGTCCTCATCGGGGGTGAAGAAACGGGTAACGATTGGACGTCCTATAAGTCCCAAGGCAAAGGCGAAAAAGTCGGTGTACGTGAGCGCAAGATATCCCCATGTATCCTGTGAATATTAGACAATGACTAGTGTCATAGACCGTTGAATCATTGCGTTCAGAGCCAACTTGGAAACTCAGGGTTCTTTGCTTGCATTTTAGACTCCCAAATGCGCTCACCCGCGTTCTGTAGTATTGAATCACCAAAAGGGCCAGGCTGCTAGCGGTTACTACCGCTAGGAAGCTCTTAATGCCCATCCCGTTTGACAGTTTCATCTGACGACACGCGGACGCCCAGCAGAGATGCCAAACCATCCACCCGGAAAGCAGACCCCACGGCCGAAACCCCAGGTCCCCGCGTTCCTCGAGTCTTGCCCGCAGGCCAGTGCACAATGCAGATGACACAGACCAAATGGAATTCAGATGCAAAAGAAGGCAGTTCAGTGACCAACAAATGACAGTGTACTTTACCGTGTTCGCAGGTCACTCGGGGATGTTGCCCCGCAGGGGAGACGGCGCTGCGGCTCCAGCGGGACACGAACTCCGTTGTTGTCTTTTGGGTGAGATTTTCGTGTTGAAAAACCAGCCTCAATCAAGGGCTTCATGCCACACAGCAGAAATGTGACGCGCGCGGCTGCAGGTGTACGAGCTACTTAGGCCACCCCGCGAGACGCACTGCGTCCGCTCGCCAGAGAACAGCGTCGCAGTGTTAAACATGCTTGCCAGGTTTTCGGGTTTTGGATTTAGCCCATTACTTCATGCGCGAATTTTTAACTACTTCGAGTATTAAGTGGTTTTTCCTTCGGGTCTAGGGATTAGGCTCTCCTACCCCCCCAGGAATTAACAGCCGGCCCTGCCTATCTGTGTTGACGACTCTAGCGTCTCCGACGCAAATAGAACCCCGGAGCATGACTCCTACAGAGCAAAGCCCAGCGTCCTGCTCGCTGTACCATCAACCACAACTAATGCCACTCAACTCCAAACTCTGCAGTCGGTTCGGCGGTTAACGCCCTCACGGCTTGCAGCACTCCAGCGCAGTGAACTGCCGACAGGATGTGTGTTTGTATTTGGTTGTGGCGAATCAGCTTGCATAGGGCAACGTTGAGCGCTGAGGAGGGGAATGCTGCTCATGAATTTCCCGCGTGAGTACGTGAGGAATGCAAAAGGTGTGGTGAGCAATGCGTAGACGAATGATATGAAAAAGGCCGTCATCACCCAAAGGGATTCCCGCGGAGTCCCCCACCGCAGTACTAACCGGGCCTT